AAAAAGAAAATAATTTTATGTTAATATATTAATAAGTAATATATACATTTTAAAAATGACGAGTCTTACAATTTTTTTTTCTTGCTATAAGAAATAAAATACAAAAATAATAAATTGTGTTCAAGGTAATAAAAATAAGAACTAATAATGTGCACTAATTTTTTTTTTTGTTTGTGTTCGGTTAAATATTTTTTTAGAATTTTAGTAATCATCAAGAGTTTGAACTATTTTTATTTTTATTTTTCTATAAATATTTATAATTTTATTTTTTCAAAATTTTAATTTTCTATTTTTTGGAATAATTTTTTTTATAATTTATCAATTTTTTTTAAAAAAAATTAAAATTTCATTTGTTAAAATTTAACCTTGTTTGATCCTCATTTTTTCATAGTACATTTTTCTCTCTCTTTTGTTTTCAACAACACATTTTTAATAAAATCATATTACACGTAACTCAAAAAAAAATTTAATCATACATTTTTCATATAGCTATTATTCCAAAATGTATTCTACTCCAAAAATGGGGCTTAAACAGGCCCTAAAATTTTATTTGCATAAAATTTAATTTAAACACTTAATTTTCATATAAGCGTTTTAAAATTTTTTACTCAAATAATTTAAAACGTAAAAATTTCGTTTTGAATTTTATGTTATGAATTTATTCTCAAATCAAACACGTTTTCAGTGTTTTACAAAATTGAAAATTAAAAACATCTTGAAAACAGTAAATCAAACGTACTCTAGACAAACATATATTGAGACGTTGGAGGTGCGGCGGTGCAGTGTTGTAGAATGGAGATCGAAGAAAATTTGTTTGATAAGTGATTAAAACAAGAAGAAATAAGACTAAGTCACTTTTTTATAGGAATTAACTTTCAAATTTTTCTTTAAATTAAAGTCAATAATTAAATTTAATCACATATTTTATAGGATTCATCACTTTTCATCCATATATTTTATTAAATTTTTATCAAAATATACTAAAAATCTAATTTTAATACCCATCAAACATAGGCTAAATAAAATAATAAATTAATTTGAACTAAATAATTTTTTTGAAATAGAAATTGTGTAGAAAATTATAAATTAGTGCTTACTTCGTCATTCTTAAACATATGTTTTTAAGAGTAGATACAAAGTGAATCAAAATTATTGCTTGATCAACAATTTGTTTTCTATTTTAATCTAAAAATCATGCCGTCTAATTCAATCATCTGAATAACTATAGCACTATAATTGATAAATATTTAATATAAAATTTATGAACTAATAAAAATTAAATAAGGGCTTATATTCTATTTTTTTTTCACTCATTGAGTTACAAAAAGTGGTGGGTCTCGATCTACTTAATTTTAATTATTAATTGTTTAAGGGGTTCACAAAGTTTCTAACTTTGAAAGTGATTGACTTCAACTACAAAGAGAAATTAATTGTGATCATTGGATCTTGATGTTGATCAATGGTGTATGGCCCTCGTATAAGTACGAAATTGAGACGAGTTGCCTCTCAACTTTACCTATAGTTACTACTTGCTTATCAAAAATTAAACGGTTACTCAATGCTCACTATTGAATATTTCAGTCAGCAATGAGTAACCATTTAATTTATGATGAGCAAGTAGTAACCATGGATAAAGTTGAGTGGCCACTCATTTAATTAACTCGTAGGAAACCTAAGTCTCATTTCACTCTTCGATTCTTTATTTTTTCACTCTCTTTCTTCTCTTTCCCTCTTGGCTGCGCACTGTTTCTTGTGAGACTTTCTTGTGTTCTTTGCATTCATTGTGAATGAAAGTTGAAACCGTTCTCTTTATGGCTTCAAGGGTAGTGTTTTCCCTCACCGAGAAGGAAAATAACTAAGCAATGTAGTTGAGGATTGTTGGGTGAAATGTGAGCAAAATTGAGTCCTAAGCGCCTCACTTCCATGCTTAATGTCGAAGTGTACAGTTTTGAACATGTAGGTTTTGTGATTTGTGGTTGAATATTCGATTTTGCGAGTAAATTTGTAACAAGCACCCTAGATTAATGTACAAATCTTCAATATATATTAATAGATGAATGACCAATTCAATAAGAAATCGATACATATTATAAAGTGATCGATCGATTTCTTGATAAGGGCAATACAATGGATGAATAATGTTTGGATAAATAAGAGATCGGGAACTTAGTTTGTGAAAAGATCATTCAAGCACCTAAATGTTGGAGCATTTTGATTCGTTGGACAACATTTTTATGTATTACGAACAACACAAGAAACATGAAGGCTTTGGAATCATAAAGAAATCAATGCGATCATATGGAAATTTAAAATTTGTTGGCTTATCATTTTCGAGCGGGAAATTCGAAGTTTCAAAAATAAAATTTCCTCAATCCTAATCAATTGACAAAATTAGGGTTGCATAGCTAAGGTTAATGCTTCTATATTAAAAAAAAAAAAAAAGGTAAGATTAAGTCTATTACTTGAGCATAATCATGGGTTGAGTTACAAAACTCACAAATTTTCTTATGCAATGGGCAAATTAGCATATGTGCTCAAAGAAAACATGAACTTAATGATCGAGCAATTTTAACGACATGGCGAAGAATTGCCTATTATTAGCAGTGGAAGCCCGGACCCTGATAATGTACCATTTGCGAAAAATATGTATAAATTACATTGTAAAAGAAGATTACGACTTGGTATAAGAGACGCCGAAGCAATCCATGATTATTTTTTCGGATGATGTAGACGCACTTGCCACTCAATAATTGTATAAGCCTTGTGCATGTGTAAATGATCAGCTTCTTATGCTCGAAACTCATATGTATTTGGTTTTGAATGGCGCTAACTATAAAATTGTTTTGGTATGATTAAAAGCCACATTTTGCTAACAAGATGTGCTGTCAACAAATTCGCACGAGCTGCTTATGCCCGACTGTTATGTTTGACACGAACTTTGATCATCTTGATTTAGAATCACTATCCAACTACTTTGATTAGGGAAAACCGTTTGTTTGGTTTAATTATGACTCATTGTTAGAGATGACAACAAGACGAGACAGGACAGGACCAGGACAATCCTTCCCTCCCCGTCCCATCCAAAATCTTCGAGAAATAGAGCTGAAATTTGTCATTTCTTGCCTTGAAAATTTGAAGAAAACTACGCATTCTATTTTTATTCATTATTTTCAAAATGCATTATTTAAAAACTCATTTTCAACCACACATTCTTTCATAAAATAAAATATTACATATAAATTCAAAACTTTTCTTTATCTTTAACCCTACATTTTCCAAAAAGTTACTATTTCAAAATACATTTTCTGCCAAAAATACATTAAAATGGTGCACGAACATATTTGTAGGTGTAAGCCATTTAGTTAAAATTAGATTTTTTCTAATAGATTTTGATTAAAAGAAAAAGTTAATGAAATATGTGATTGAAAAGTTGATAAAAACTGTAAATTCCATGGAATATATAATCAACATAAATTGTTGAGTTTGCTTTAATTTTTTGTCATATTTTTAAACCACACCAAACATGACTTCAGTTAAAATGATGATGTTCGATTAAAAATTGCGTATGAAATGATGTTGTCATGGTGCAGCTGCTACAAAATGAATCATGATTAATAATGTAGCCACACACCTTGCATGAGATGGCATGATTTTGTGAGTAACACCGCCTTTTTTTTCAATGTTGCTTGTGAAGGTTAGTTGACTGGGGGCTTTTGACAGGTATTGCGTTGACAGCACCTATATGAATATTTTTTTTTAATTGGTCAATGAAATACTGTCACGGGTCCCTTATTTTTTAATCTATCATCGACCCTGACTATGTAGCACGATTGTTCCCCTCCCTCCCAAGCTCTGGCGATCGAACCAAATAATTGAATCTTAATAAAAGTCAAGGTTGTTGGCCTAAACTCTTTCTAGGATCGATAGTACAGAACAAGTATATCATAAATCAATCTCTTTCATTTTAAGTTTAGCTTGTTGTAAGGCAAAATACCCTTTACTAATAGAAACAGTATGCAACTTTAGAAAGCAGTGTAGAACAAGAAAATATGCTAATATAATCCAACTTATTTTAAGATAAAACATTCGAATTCGATAAAAATGCGTAAAGAAACAATTTTGAATCAATTGTTAGATTCAATAAATATATTATTTATGAGTATTCCACAATTAGGAAGATAATTGCAAAAAAACTTTAAAACACCCCTTTTTTTTTAAAAAAAAATATGTATTTTGTAATAGTGTTATGATGGAAAATATGTGGTCAAATCACTATTCAATAATATATTTTGATGGAAAAAATGAGGTTCAAACAAGGGCTTAATAAATAAGTACCTTGAATTAAAAAAAAAAGTTGAACCCCAACCTTGAGGGCCCCCTATCGCCCCACCTCTAGAGTATCGTGGAGGAGGTAAATTTCGGAATGTGCCTCAGCAGACTAGGATACAAGAGTTACCATACTGGTGCCTACAAATAGTCAAATTTTATACCTTGTAAAAGGCAGGAATTGAATCCTCACACTGCGGCTACCAGCTCAACTGAAACTACTTTACTCTTGTCATTTGCACTACTGAGCTATGCCCCGAAAGACAATAAGTACCTTGAATAGATTAGACTAACCCTTGTTTGAGTCCCATTATAATGTAATTTTTGAGAAAAAATTATTTTGTAATAGTGATTTTTTCAAAAATGTGTGGTTGAAAAGGAAGGAAATTTTTTAATTTACGTATAATATTATTTTATTAAAGAATGTTTGATTAAAAAGAAAAAAGAGAAAAAAGTATTATTGATAAATTATGGCTCAAACAGGGGCATAGATATATGGGCGCCTCTGCTGTTAATTAATCAATTTTGTGTCGTGCCAAACAGGTCGCAAATCTTGTCCGAACAAATTCAAAAACCTCAGGCGATTCAAAGTTTTCTGACAAATAATTGAAACGCTCCAACCCCGGACTGCCCACCCTCCTCCCCTCTTCTCCGTCTCTCTACTCTGTAATGAAATGGAAGCAATAAGAAAGCAAGCTACAAAGCTCAGAGAACAAGTAGCAAAGCAGCAACAAGTACACTCCTCTCTCTCTCTCTCTCTCTCAAAGTACAGTTACCCTGATTTTGATTGACTCGATGGTAATTTTAATGTGTTATTTTGATGGTATAGTTTTGAAAATCGGCGATAAATGTTATCGATAATGATAATAAAGAAAAAATAGGGATTGTCAATGTAATTGAAGAAATGCCCAAAAGACAGTAATACTTGGACTGTGATTCACCCGATTTGTCCCTGGTTTTACTTTCCGAAATATTGAAAACTTTGACATTGAATCGATTTAAACTGGATATATATGCCATGGATTAATTAGGGCACCAAAGATTTCCTATTTCATACTGTGCTTGAAATTTGCTAACTTAAACCTCTTATTTCAATTGTGGATTCCTTTTTGTGCGAGGAATGGCATTTGCTTATACTGCTTTTTGCCTTTCTTTTTCTTCCTTCTGCCAAATTTTATCAGGCTGTATTCAAGCAGTTTTCTGGTGGGCTTGGTGGTTCGGATAATCTCTCCTCAGATGATAATGAACTCCAACAGCATCAAAAACTTGAGAAGCTCTACATTTCTACTCGTGCTGCCAAGGTTTACCCACCAGTCTATTCTTCAAATTTGCCTCAGCGATTTGCCCTAGTTACTCTTTTTGATATGCATATTCCCTTTTTTTACTAATTAGCACTATCAAAGGGACATTATCCGAGGTGTAGAAGGTTATATTATCACGGGATCCAAGCAAGTTGAGATTGGTGAGTTTCTAAATTTTCTTTTCTATTAATCTTAAACATCATGCAGTGTCTTTAATGATACCGTTATTCTTCAACAGGCACCAAGTTGTCCGAAGGTAGTAGAAAATATGGTGCTGAAAACACATGTACCAGTGGCAGTACATTATCTAAAGCCGCATTAAGTTATAGTAGAGCTCGTGCTCAGATAGAAAATGAACATGGAAATCTACTACAAGCACTTGGAACGCAGGTATATACCAGTCTTTTGCATTAATTGTAAACGAATTTTTAGATCACTTTTGTAGGCATGATTTGCTCACTACTAGATGCAATAAAAAACATGATATGATATATTTTTCCAACAACATAACGAATTTTGGATGTACTTTTATGACACGCTGACATTACTTTTTTGCAATATGCTTGTAACATCTTGAAAAAAAGTGTCTAATTTCTGATAATTCATAAATATGTGGATTTAACTGGATCCCTGCATGCCTCCACCCTCCTTATATGCCTTCTCTTTAGATAGATATGATAAACGTTCCCATATATAACTTGTAATTGCTTAATTAGAGGAATATGTTGGTATTCTAATTACTAGATATTCTTTTAGTCTCCTTCTCTATTTCCTTCTTTCTTTTTCTCAACAATGATCCAGGCTGGGTGGCATAAGTCATATGTATCATTGCTGTTATATAGCATGACGAAACGAAAACCGAAAGGACTTTTTTGCTCTATTTCCTTTTCCACCTAGTTCTGTCAGTATCTCATCTATCAGTGATTTCTTGCTAAGTGCAGTGTGAATTAAAGTGTCTGGACTTCCGTATATTTCTATCTAAATGTCCTTAGTCTAATATATGGCATCGATATTATATCTTCAAGCTCCTGCTTCATTAAAATATTTAGTTGCACAGTTTGTGTTTTGATTCCTTTTGGACTGCAGGTTGCGGAGCCGTTAAAAGCAATGGTGATGGGATCCTCATTGGAAGATGCTCGACATCTTGCACAGCAATATGACAGAACGAGACAGGAAGCTGAAGCTCAGGTAACATCACGCGTGTTGCATGCCAGAATACACACTTTCTTATCTACCAATGTTTAGTTTTTGTCAATATTGTTTGCTTTATTATTTCATGTTTTTACCTGGGTGATTCCAAACAAAGATTTCTGGAGATTTTTAAATTTCTTCCCCTCTTGAGGATTATCACCCACAATTTCCTCTTGTAGAATATTGATCTCATGGTGCATTTGGAACTACTGCTTTGAAGGTTTTTCTTACAATGTATCTATTTCAACTTGTATTCCATTATTCTTTTGACCCAGACAGGCTATTGAAGTTTTCAGACGGCAATCAAAAGTGAGAGAATCGAATGCCAATCCTGATAACATATTGAAATTGGAATCTGCTGAAATGAAGCTTCGTGAACTTAAGTCAAACATGGCTACCTTAGGTAAAGAGGCTTCTGCTGCAATGGCTGCCGTGGAAGGCCAACAACAAAGGTTGACTATCCAGCGACTTATAGCCATGGTAATGAATTATTTTTTCCTCATCTGCAGTATGCCAAACTACCAATGTAAATTCCAATGAATCGGCATTTACAAGTTTTCACTTTTTTCTTATTGAAGGTTGAGGCAGAGCGTTCTTATCATCAGCACGTTTTACAGATACTTGACCAGCTTGAGGGGGAGGTACGATCGTTAACGATGATCTTTTGGAGATGCATTAAGTTTCTCAAAAGTTTTTTCCTAGTGAAATTGTTAATACTCATACAGCATGCTGCATGTTTTAGGTAGTTCTGATTTACAGATCGCCGTATGGTGATTAATAGATGTTTTTGGTTTGTGGATAGATGTTATCTGAGCGCCAATCTTTTGAAGCTTCCCCTATTCCAGCGGCAGATCGTGCTATGCCTCCTCCCCCTTTATACAATGGAAGTGATGATTTATTTGCCCCTCAATCATATCCTGGGTCAATTGATGGCACGGGTTACTTCTTAGGAGAGGTACTTGGTTTTTCATTGTCTAGTTATTTTTGATATACATATGTAACTTAACGAATCAGTTCTTAACCACCTGATGATGCTTTTATGTATCTCATCAAAGGTTGTGCACCCATATCAAGCCGATTCTGATGTAGAGTTGACATTATCAGTTGGCGACTATGTAGTCGTCCGAAAGGTTTGTTATGCTCTTCATCTTCTTTTTTACAATCTTGTGACTAAAGATGACTCTCTTTCTCTGTCTACATGTCCTTGGCAGCTCTCTTTTTATGTGTGCTTATTTTTTGCCCAATTTCTTTCCATACCAATCACGATCCACCACGCTCCACAGCAAGAGAACCATTGCTACGGCAAGTCAAAAGGAGTGTGCAGAATTGTCTTTCTTCAATTATATCAGTCCCAAATGAGCTAAATAAGAAGGTTTTAAGGCCTTGGAGCATACAAACTAACAAATTATGGCGCTTTGCTGAAAAGGATAATTATACTATGCCCTTTTTTGGTGGCCATTTTTTTTGGAAAAAACATCGTTTTGAATAGAATTCTAGGAGAATGTGTAGTTGAAAAGTAAGGAAAAATTTTGGGTTTACGTGTAGAATATTTTATTGCGTGAATGTGTGGTTGAAAATGAGTATGAAGAAAACAGAGTTTTGAAACAATGGAAGACAAACAAGGGCGTTGTATATGGTTGGTTCTTCCCTCGTGATAGGCTATTGGAGTTTCGAGAGTTTGACTGACAACAATTTAGATTTTCCTTTTTGGATTAATACTTGAAAAGATTTAAATGGTGCATGTCTTTTTCTCTTAATTCTTCCTAAGATTCAGCATTTCCTTGGATGACCTTCATATGTATACGTCTCTTCATTATCCCTGACTAGTATTTCTTTTAACAGCTTCGTTTTTTACGATGCTTTATCAGGTGTCAAACAATGGTTGGGCTGAGGGTGAATGCAAAGGGAAAGCAGGTTGGTTTCCCTTTGGGTACGTTGAAAGGCGGGAACGCGTTCTTGCAAGCAAGGTAGCTGAAGTTTTTTAAAGGTTGATTTTGTAAATCCATTATGTGTGATTGTACCTTGAACAAGTGAATATTTTACTTTTTATTGTAAGATTGGATAATATGAAAGGAGGTTAAATTCATGTTTGACAAAACTTTCTTGAGATTATAAGCTGGTCTCAATCACTGAATTTCAAAAGTGATATAGAAGACAGTTGAATTAAATCAAAAAAGAACAAGATACCCGTCCACTTTTTTTTATAATTTATGGTGCTCTTTCCAGACTAGACTTGGGCAAGGCTAGACAATACTGATTTGTGAAAACCATCTTTTTTCCAACATATCTGAATGTATTTGAAGTCAAAGAAGTTAGCTCTATTTTTTGCCATTCTCAAATATGGCTACTCTTATTTGTTGAACATTGACAAGCCAGGCTTTTCCTATGTTGACAGCTGATTAATTATTGAGGAATTTCATTAAAATTTATCATGGACGAATTGATGGATGAACATTAATCATCCATTAATGAATATGATAATTTCATAATGCTGTCATCATCTTATCAAAACTCCAAACGCATAACCTTTGTTTGGTTTAGATAAAAATTAGATCTTTTGTAGATTTTGAAAAAAAGTCGATAACACGTGTGATTAAAATTAATTACTGATTTTAACTTATATTTTAATAAGCTTTCTTAGTCGAACCAAAGAGGGACCATAAGATGAAGCGAGTAGCTAAACAATTGCACGTTATGTGCCTATAGTTGAATTTGCATTGGACATGAATGATGTGGTAAAATTTGAAAATTCAAAACAAGAATAGTACAATTTCTTAATCAAATTGATCGAAGCCGATTTAGGTTAAACTGTGATAGATGGATTAATCAAATCCAATGAGATTTATGTATGATAAAGTCCAGAGAACCCCACACAATAATAGGTTGATTATGTTCTCTGTACTGAAATTCCATGTTTTGCCAAATTCAGGTCTCATCTTCTTATTTTGCCCAGACTGCCTATGCCTATACAACTACAAATTCTCCAAAATAACACACATCAAAAAATCAATTCTAAAATAATCCACATCAAACATGCCCTTAATTTTATTCAGTATTCTGTAGTATAGCACAGCGCCTCCCAAATTGGAATGCCCGATCTACCTCATTACTAAATGCCATCAAGAAATCTCAAATTACTGGATATAAACTGATCTATCCAATTTGTGCCTATGTGAACTTCTTGTTTAAGCATGATTTTCTTAAGACATTTCTTCACAGTAATATCTAAACATAAATGAAATAGTTGTACTCTAACATCACTAAAGAAAAAAAAAACTTTTCAGTCTATCTAATGATGCATACGCCCAAATTTACAGACAAAGATATCCATGCATGCATCAAGTACATAGACAGTAAAAAGTCGGACTGACAAGATTTTGGAGTCAACTTGGAGCACACTATGGGATGAAAAAGGGATCAAACAAAAAAGAAAAATGAAAATAAACTACTTTATAAAACCATGAAAAATGGGAAACCAGATCGGTAAGAGATTACATTTTTTGTTTTTTATAATGGATCAAACAAATAAGAAAAATGAAAATAAACTACTTTATAAAACCACGAAAACTGGGAAACCAGTTCGGTATGAGATTACATTTTTTGTTTTTTTGTTGGGACTACCAAAAAGTTCTTGATCTGTTTGAGGCAGCGGTAGATGGATTAATCTGTGGAACAGCAAATGAATTGTCTTCCCTACTTCCTTCTCTGCTGGATTTGATGTTTGATATTTCCTTCGACTCCTTTAATCCATCTGGTGCCCCAAATGCCATGTTTGAAGTTGAATATGACTGAATTTGTGGTGGATAATATGAAGGATGAGGGGCTTGAGGGACCCCAAACCCCATATTGTCTCGGGAAAAAGCACTCAGCTGATTGCTCTCAAGATCAGCATTCAAAAATGACAACACATCATTTTCTGTAGTCTACAATTTGATCAAACAGAATGAAACTCGGATCAATAAAAGAACCCAATTAAAATTTCAGCATATGGAATTGATGGGTGTAAAAGTTTTTACAACAATGCTAACCTTAAAGAGACCAAGAGAAGAACAATCAAGAAAGTCTTCAACATGCCACCCTGGAAGTGTATTCAAATATTCTGATATGCTACTTGTGGAACAATTTATAATTTGAATATTTCCACCAGTTTTGTCATTGGTATCCGGCGGCGGAGGCGATCCGGCGTCGCTTCCAATAACTGAAGTTGTAGTCTTTGCCGTGAAAGGTGGTCGATTGGTAGGGGTTTCAGAAATAGAAGAAGAAACTGAAATAGAAACAGGTTTATTTAATGAAGTCTGGGACTGGATATTGGGAACAGAATCTGAAACAATAGTTGAAGAGGATTCTGTCGATGTTGAAGATGAAGATGAAAGGGCAGAGGTTGAAGAAAGCTTTACACCAGCGAGAAGAAATCTATTGTGCTTTTGAGTGTGTTCATTTGCTTTGTGTATTGCAATATCACAATCTCTGCATAGAATTGCTCTATCTTGTTGACAAAACAAGAAGGCCCTCTTCTCCTATAAATCAAAAACAAAATCAACAAACCGGAAAACTGGTAATAATTCAAGAAACTCAAAATAATGTTTAGATACCTGACATATATCACAGACTGGGAATTGTTTAGGTGAAGGTTGGAGGAGGGAGAAGCGTTGGTGTTTTCCGGCGAGTTTGTTGGCATAGTGGACACGGTGGTCACAGGCGGCGCAGAGGGCTGCTTCATCCGCCATACAGAATACTGATGCTTCATCCTTGTCACATACATCACACTGGATCTTCATTTGATTTGATCAGATTATTTTCAACTTTTTCAAGTTTGCAATTTCGTGCTGGAGAAACTGATCAACAACAGAGAAATTCCCAGACATGGGTATTAAACATGGTGGATAAGCGTTGAAATTAGAAGAGTTGGGGCAGTGGTATTGGGTGGTGGTGGTGGGGGTGGGGGTGGGGGTATATATTTTATTCTATTATTACTATCATTAAAAATGATGAATCTTTAATATAATATAGAGTGTGAACAGTAATTGTGTAAGACTGTAAAGTGTAAACAATTGACTGAGGTTCAAATGAGGATGGATCTCCATAAATTATGGAGTATAATAATAATAATAATAATAATAATAATAATAATAATAATAATATATTGAATTAAAATTTATTATAAAGTAGTGAATGATAATGAATTTAAAAGGTTGCATATAAAAGTTTATGTTTAGCAGTAGTAGTCATAGCAAAATTTTATCAGACAAATGATCTATGTTCGAGTAATTTTTTGAATAGTGATGGAAATCCTTTGATCAATGTTCTTCGTTGTATTGATCTTCCAATTAGAATGGATTGAAGTAAAGATTTGAACATTAAATCTCGAATCTTCTTAAATTAAAACTTAATTTGTTGTTATGCGCTTCATTATTATTTTCTACAAACATTATAAATCATAGTCACAAACTATAGTATATATCTCATTGCACAAGGAATCCTAGGATCCAAAAGAACGAAGGTTGACCAGAATTTGTCAAAATTATACACAAACGCCCCATTATATCTTATTTTCCACAATAATTAGGGCATGATTAAAAATTTTAGTCAACTGGGGCCTTAATATGCATCTCAGTTTACAAATTAATTGACAAATTCATTTTTTTTTAGTCAAAATTTGTAAAACATGTTTATTACAACTAACTAATGATAAATTTTGAAAAGTGATAGCTATTTGGATTATAAATGTTTTTGAAATAAAAAATTTCGGGTCTTTACTTCATTGAAGGTTTTAAAGGGTCGACACTGCCATCGCTACTTCCTATAAAAAGTGGACAATAGTTCACATCGATTAATTGAGTTCTTAAGAAGGAAAAGATGTTTGAGAATGACTAAGTGATTGGATTTAATAGAAAAAAAGGTTTCAATTTGAACTCTAGAGTACATAGAAGATATTAGGGTTAAACATTCGTGCCGAACTTTTTAAAATATTTTCGATTGTTATTAAATTTTAAAATGTTACCATTGAGCTTTCCCATATATTTCCTAGATACCATTGGACGTTTAAGAGTGTTTTTTTTAAAAAAAATCTAAAAAAGGGTCAATAATACAATATTTTAACACATTTGGATTGGAATATGTCCTTCTCGGCAACTGGGAAGCATGGGATGCTCAAAATATAGAATTATGAGACTATTATATTTCAGGGAAAATTGCAAAAGCAGTTCCTAATCTTTTTTTTTTTTTTTTACAGATTTTGCTCTAAACTTCAATTTGTGCCAACAAAGGTTCATAACCTTTCAGAAATATGCAGCAAAGGTCCCTAAACCATTCGCGACCATTACCATCAAACCTACACCAAAAACCCCACCCCAACATTTCTGTAAATTGATTTGTTGATTGTTAAAAGTTTGAGGTTGGAAATCACAGAAAACGTCGTTATGGTTTCGAGGTTGATATTATTCACGAAGGAAATTGAAGAAAATGGAAAGTTTTTAGCCTAAGTTGGCGCTAGGCTTTTCCAATTTTTTATTGCAGCTTTGGGTATATACAATTGGTGAAATATCTCGAGGTTTTAGAGGAAGGGGTCAGTAGGAATCGCCAGTAAAAATCGATTCGGTAGGAGGACGATGTATGTTTGATTGGATTTTTGGCGATAGGTGTGAGAAGGAGATGTTGCCAGCAGTGGTGTGTGATTGGATTTTTGGCGGTGGTACTGACGGAAGGTGGTGGTGTTGGTGCCAGCGGCTGATTTTAGGGGAAAGGGGGTAGGGTGGGACAACCTTTATTTTATTTCTTTTCTTAATTTTTTTTCTTGATTTTTTTTGGTTTTTTGGTTCAATGATAATTATCAAATTACCATTTTATCTTTTTGATTTGATCAAATTTTGACTTTCTTTGTCAATTAACGTCAAATGACCTCTGCTGTATATTTCTGAAAGGTTAAATACATTTGTAGGTACAAATTGAAAATTATTTTAAAGTTTGCAAAAAAATGAAAAATTAGGAATCGCTGTTACAATTTTCCCCATATTTTATTGTTGTGAAAAAAGGACCGACGAATCTAGACATTTCTCCATTGGGCAGCTTATGGGCACCCAATAAGAACTTTTCCTTGTGCACCAATAATTTATGAATTTTATAAAGGAAGAAAAATTGTACAGTTGGTTTCCAATTTATTGTTTGAATAACGAGTTAGTCTTCAATAATTTGATCAATGTTTACGGTCAATTCTGACGACAAAATTTTATTAATTTATCAAGTATCCTAGTACAACTATTTGAGTAATGATTTAAGTTAGGAAACAAAATCTAACTTTATAAAATTGATTAAGTGATTGCCGTGTGTGACTTATTGAAGTATTAGACGATTTTTTATGTTAAGTACTGTCTGTAAAACGTGATGAAAGGTTGACACCAACTTGCTAAAGAAGCAGATAAAGATTCGTAGTTCACGTCAACTTATTTATCTTGTCTTTCATATTGTAAAGTTTCGAAAAATGACAATCCATTAAAGTTTGAGTAGACAAAGAATTGGCCCATACCTTTTATCGAATTAATATATTATAATTGCTTAGTGCTCTCATTATTAAGTTAATGACACATTTAATAGAAAATAATTTGTTGATTACATCATGCATGACCTTATTGGCATAGATTTAGCGCATGTTTGTGCGCGATTTTAATCTGCAATAAAATCGATTTTTATTCCGTTGAAGGAAGCAATGGTCAGAAAATCACAGAAAGGTGGCTGAATGTGTGACTAAACAAAGTCAAAAAGGGTGGGCGGGTACTGTAGCAATGGTACAAATTTCGATTTTAATTGTGCCCAGACAAAACCTTATACTGAAATTGAGTTTATCAAAATTTTCAACCACGCGAATAGAAAAAATAGAGCGGTGTTGCTCGATTGTAAATATATGGACCTCCCATGGTGTGAATACTCAATATTAGATACTTGAAATGCTTTTCTACAATTTTTTGTTACAAGTGAAATTATATTTGATAATTTTACGTGGTACTATCAAAGTGATATTTTGTTGGGAATTGACTTAAGAATTGTGTGTATGCATTTTAGTATTTTTAAAAGTGTACAAATATATAAAGAGGAATTTGGACAAAACAAACAAAGATGCATTTGAAAAAAAGGTCTGAAAATTCAGACAAAAATGTCCTTCTTATGTAAAGTATTTCCACCCCACCCACTTCGAGAGAGAGAGAGAGGCATGCTCCTCCCTATCGTTGCATATTATTCTTTATCTTCTTTTTATACTAGATTGAATTGAGTTGTTGAATTTCTTGTCTCCGTTTTCAAAATCTTATGAAACTCTTCGGCCTTTCTCCAATGTGCTGTCAAAATAAAAGATCAATTCGAATTTGACTCAGAAGCTCGTGTGTTACGGTGAAACCTAAACCCCACCAATTTCTTCTTCGTCACCTTCTTCTTATCATCACCATTCGATATTTGGTTGTTGAAATCCGAGATTGCTTGACAACCAAATGTCGATTGGGTAAAATGTGGTTGAGATCCACCACTTGACATTTGGTTGTTGAAATTTGAGTTTTCTTGTTAACCCAATGTTGAGTGGGTAAAATCCAGCAACGACTGTTAGAAAGGAAGAAGTCGAGATTTTCTCGATAAGAAGAAAGGAAGTGAGATTTTTCTTGAGTAACGGGGTCTACGGGGATAGTGGGAAGTGGGCGAGAGTGATGGTAGAGGGAAAGTTTTGTGTCGGATGTGATGTGATAGTATTGGAGGGAGAAGGTGATGTGGCGGAGGAGGTAGAGGATGAGGCAACGATCTGCGGCATGGGTGAGTGTGCGGGCACTCTTAGTGTTTGCAAAATGAATTGTGCTACTTGTACAAATGTATTTAACATATTAGTTTACCGGTACTGAGTTTGGAATATTTCACAGGCTGGTTGGACAAAAAAAACAAAATTAAATAAGTCTGTTAAATGTTGTCAATTCAACACCTGTAAACCAGTCTGATAAATATATCTATACAAGTAGCATTCTTGTTGAAAAATTTGGTCATATTTGCAAAAGTTTCCATGTACTTTTTTTAATGGCCGTTTTTCAAAATGCACATTTAAATATACAAATTCAAATTCCCCATAACAAATAAACTCTATTAAATTATTTGGATTGATCATGCACATCTTGAACAAACAAGATTGATTGACCATTGAAATGTCTCAAGTTAGACATATCTAGCATGCATGTGATGTTCATGTAATTTTATTTATTTTATAATCTCAACACCATCTTTTCCCTTCAAAATCTACTCATCTCTCGTGACCCACTTTTTTAACTACAAGAAAAAGATGATGCCCTTCAATTTAGTTACCTTAATAATCAATCCAAGAAAATATTTCAATGATTTCAAAAGCCGTTATAGCTTAATTTTCAACCTTTCCAGAATCTCATGGTTTTGGTCGAAGAAAAAAAGGGTTACTTGACTTGAAAGACTTGGGTTCCATCATGTGTGAATTAAGGAAGTCTAGTTGCTTGAATAAATTGGGCGGTCAAATTGCTTATCAATCGAGGATGTTGACCACTGCACATACAAGAAAATTAGAGCAACTAACAGAAGAAGACAAATTATGCTTTTTGGTGGTGGCAATATTTTAGAATATTATTGTTGAAGATAAGGCAAAATTCACACGAAATATCGGCATATCATAGTGTGAATAAAGATTGGAATATATTGTGCTTCACATTCATTTCATTTGGCCTATTTTATTTATATGAGAAGGCTGCAGATTAGAATTATGTTCAAACATTTGTAATTGCTAGTCATTTTGGTATCATCACTCTTTTTTTTAACCCCGTCATTACATTTTATTAACCCCCACAACAGCACACAGACAAATAATAATTCCAGGTCTTCAAAAATAAGTCCTTATGTATAAATTCAAGAAATTTATTTCAAAAAGCATGAGTAAGGGCAAGTTTAGCTCTTGTTTAGTAATTTGAGAAGTGATTTTTTGTTTTTTGGTGATTGTATGGTTAAAAAAGTAGGAAAATATTGTGAAAAATACAGAAAATATTTATTTTTGAAGAATATATGACGAAAATGAGCATCAAGTTGATAGAAACGGACTTATTTGCCCTTTCATCCAAATAAGCAAAACTAATAATTAAATACAAGCAATTAGAAAAGGGGGAAAGTGCAGGTGTGACGTGTAATGTTTTCTTAATTTGGGAGCTTGTGGAGATGGTTGCAGTGTCGTAGAAATTTGGGATTTGATAGATGAGGTCAAGCTCACAAAAATGAGTTTTGAAAAGTCGAATAAAAGAGGACAAAATGTGCGCTACGAAAGGTTTGCAGTAGAGCTCCATGTCACCGGGGCGATGACTTATGAGGCTATTCTGCATGGATTTAATATCTAGGGACGATGGCCACCAATAAATGAAAGGTTGAAGATATACAAAAAATAGATAAGGATAAATGAGCAACGACTCTAAAGATTAGGGATGGTAACTGCAATTTTCGCAAAAAATAATTGACAAGATATTTTACTTGTCCTTGTCAAATCTAATTTGAGAATACACAACGTGTGGACAACCTGACCAGTGACCATTCCACATTGTAGAACAAATAACAAAAAGGTTTGACCATATCTTCTCCGAATTTGACCAAACTTTCATTCAAATCTCATACTATTTTTCTAAACTTATTTATGTGAATAATAATTGTAACTTTTGCTGTATATCCACAAAAAATATATAAAAAAAACATTTAAATGGGAAAACAGGACGAATAATCCCTTCCCTACCTCCCAAGGGATTAGAGCAAGGACAGGACATTAAAATCTTATTTCGTCGTCATTCATAATAATTGTAACGTTACATGTATGATACCTTAAAATAGAGAAAGATTAAATATAATTAGAAAAAGATGTAAGATATGATTAAAAAGGAGACACTATTCTCTTCAATCTATTCCTAAATATTCGTCCCAATGATCGATTATATAATTATTAACAAGTGAAAAAAGGATGCGTTGGATAAGGTTTTGCAACCGGACAGAATGAAGGCTATTCTTCCGACAAGTACCGAACCACTTGCTCTTTCTTGTAAGCTTTTTCTACTTCAATCAAACCAATATAAAATCCCTTCTAGGTTTTATACATAAATGCATACCCTATTATAAGATATTGAGCAAGGCCAAAACCCAGACCTATGCCTATGTATTATCCCGAGGTCAGTTAAACGACTCCTCGCCTCAGTGTACATGAGGGCCGACCTTAATAGAAAGAGAATAACGTGCCAGACTTGGGCTCACAAGGTCAAGCCGATCTGTGTCCCATGACCGGATCATGGCCCGTTGACAAAATATCCCACAAGGAGTTAAATTTACACCAATAAAACTGGTTGTCCCGGGATTAAATCCCGGGTCAAACCAGGGGCGCCCTATTACCATGCATTGGGCTTCGCACTTTAACAGTGAAGTCCTCTGACCTACAGGTGAAGAATCACCACTCACCAGCCTAAAAAGGATANAAAAAAAAAAAAAAAGTGAGAAAGAGAGACATCATCCAATGATGTAGTTCCTTCTTTTGTAAAATTATTCAAAACCAATTCCTAGTTGTAAAAAAAATTTGTAGTTCCTCTACAAATACAATACTTGCTACACTACAGGAAGTTCTGTATACAACAAAGACCCTCAAAATCTTCCACCCGTCCAATGTCTGATCAAAGCTTAGTACTCCCGCGAACAACTTGCTTCCATGCTGTCATCAACATGCTGCTTTATTTGCTCTTTATTCGTCTCAAATATGAATGCCAATCCCCTGACCTGAAAATTTCTCAGTTGCATTAGATGTACACAAACTTCCAAATATGGTAAACACATTGTATCCACCTTCTTATAATATATATCTCATAATGTAAAAAAGGAAACTCCCAAAAGGAAACATAAAAGGACAAGGTAAAAAAACATAAGTTTGTTTCAGTATGAATGTTGTCATGGAGCATAAAAGCATACCTCAATCAGACAGCCTGGAGCAAGGGTTACACTCATTGAAGATGCAACTTCGTTGCCATTGATACTGATGGAAGATTTCCCTATGTTCTTCAAATGGAATGATCCGTACATGTCCATCTTTATTATGGCCTGATGAATGGGAAGAAATAAATAAAGAACATCAGGAATGGCATAGTTTGCAACCGACGAAGTTTAAACCAGACAGATGCGTGTAACCATTGTCTATCAAGCCAGTGAATCAAATACAAAGAAAGCCAATAATCAAACCAACCAAATGCGCTCAGGCTTTGGTAGTAGAAAGTAAGGTATCAGAATTTCCTCTAGGATAATTTAGGCCCTTTTTGACAACCATTATTTGGGAAAAATAATGCTTTGTATAGTGATTTTTAGAAGAATGCGTGGTTAAAAAGTAGGGAAAAGTTTTGGATTTACGTAAAAAAATATTTTATTGTGTGATTTGTGGTTGAAAATGAGTACGTAGAAAAATGAGTTTTCAAATAATGGTTATCAAATAGGGGCTTAATAGGTAATGTTTGTGTTATAAATGTCATTAATATTCAAACAGCGTGTATTGGTCCATTAGGAACCAATAATAGAAACTAGTATGTGTGCTCGCTGTTTGTTGCAAAGTAATTTGCATTAGTGCTCAAGGCATTATGTGGATCCACGTGGTGTGCAACAAGAAAGGATTAAAATGAATACAATCAATCAATACTTAAAAAGCATGATTAATAATGGTGGGAGTTTAACTAACCTGCCTCCGAGAAATTTTACCGCCGTTCTTTTCTCTTCCCAAGTCAATGTCAACTTTTACATCTTCAGTTGCTCTTCCAAGTAAAACCTGAAAATATACAATTTTATTTTCGGAAAGAGAATGGAAAAAGAAATTGCATTCAAATTATCCCCGAGTTCATCATTACATTCAGTAAAACAAACAAAATCTATGATCTGTCGCATTTACTGCTCATGGTTTCCTCTCAGGGTCTAATGCCACCAGACTACCAGAGAGAGAGAGAGAGGACCTACAACGCAGATATTTGTTCCGAGACTTCAATAATTCAATGAGCTGAGAGAGCTGAACCTTAGCTATCAACCCAATCTGAGCTTTAATCTATTCTAGAGCTAAAGCTCAAATGTAGTTCCAAACAAAAGGAAAGTTCTCCTAGGTTATAATCACATATGCTTATATGCATAGGTTCTCTAGATGGAAAAGGTAAAAAATGAAATAGAAAATATGTTCATTGGCTTAGTCGAGCCAAGTGAGCTCATAAGAGCTTTGCTTGTTTAAAAACAAGCCTTCATAATCAAATGAATGACCTGAATTAAGATAGTTTGTGACCTTCTAAGTATATCGATATATCCTTTTGTTTAACCAAAATATAGGTTAATCAAGTTACCTAAACCTTTAGTGTTCACCTCAGTCGGCAAATAGTTGATGTTGCTCCCAGGAAACATGTCGTAAGACTGTCCTCTAGAAACTGAGGGAATGTTCTCTTTGTGTTTTGAGTTTTGAATTCATTTTGGGTTTTGTATTTTGAGATTGTTGAAAATGTGTTTTTTTTGGCATTTTGAAAAATTGTTTTGAAAACACCCATAATGCGTTTTGAAAATTTTGACTTGATTATAACTGAAAACACTCAAAACGACAGATTTGTCGTTTTGAGTTTTCTTTGTAAATTTTTAACTTGTTTTCAAAAACGCGTTTTCACTATTTTGGAAAATCGAAAACAGAAAACGACTTGAAAATGATAAAGAGAACATGCTCTTAGAATTTGAGAGTAAAACTTAAATTATCAATATTTCCATCATACACCTCACAGATCCTGAGGTGAAGCACCTTGATGCAAAAATTACAGGAGTTCGCCGCATACAGGCACCCAAGCATACCTTTCATGTCTTAAGGCCTGGAACCCAGCCAGGCCTCCAGAAAACTAGTCAGAAACTCCAAAACATTTCAATTGCACTGCACTATCTGTTAATACCATAACTGATTTTTTTTCAATAAGTCACAATTTAGTCATAACTTTTTTGGATATTAAGCATTGACTGATTTTTCCCATTCTCAGGTTAAAGTTTTGTGCAGACTTAATGGCAACGCTTTCAAGAATTTCCAAATAACTACCAAACAAATGATAACATAGAATATAACTTCGACCATTGAGCAACAAAAAAAAGTCATTAATTTCTTTCAGCATGCGTAAATTTATTATTTTTTATTTTTTTGGTGTGAGGGTGAGAGTAATGTGCTGTCATACCTCGGGTTTCTTAATAAAATGCTTCGAGTGGCGACCATATAATACAGCAAATGCTCCCTGAGCTGCAATGGCTCTTTGCATACAACCATCTGCAGTCTGCTCCAGCCTTATGATTGATCTCTTAGTTTCATCGTGTTTATATGACAGAACTGCAATATTAGCAAGTAGAATCTACTGTCAACTTAAATTTAATATGGAAGCAAGGAAGGCTGTGTGCAACTGTGGGAATGAAGAGCTATAAAATGCAACCACAAAAAGTTCTATGAAATAAAAAGATTCCAGAACTTAGCTAAAAGGAGACAACACAGGTTTAAATGCATGCAACTTTAATAACTATATATTCAGGAAACTCATCACTCTAGAAGCAACGTAGACAATTTTAACTGTGAATTGATAGACATAATTAATCATTCTACAAGATGCACCTAAGTATACATTCCAAATCAAGAATGAGTGCAAGTATAATATACTGCAACTGGCGACTGCATATCAGATACACCGTGTTAATAATTTCATTCAGCAGCAGTTTTATTGCTTACAAACATGAAAGTAAGAAATAAATCATAGTCATACCTTCCTGGCTCGACTGTAGATCAAAATTTTCTGGACTCAAATCCATGTCAAGGATCTGCAAGAAGTGATCAAGGAGAAAATGAAAGTTGAGATACAGATAAACCACATGGAAAGTTGTAATCTAATAAGACTGCACATTTTACCATTGCTTCTACATCGGAAAAGTAGGGCACGTCCAAATCATCCTCAGAATAAGGCTCTTCCTGATTCGACAGTAGAGGCTTTTCAATTGGTTGCAAGACTAGCGGCAGTACGGAACTTGATTCAGCATTTAATACTCCATTGTTTGGAACTTTAGCTTTAGCATCTAATTCCTTCATACTGCCAATAATACTTCTCCGAAATCTTTGAACACTGTCTGGACCATGAAAATGCTTAGCTAAACAAGGACCAGCTGATTTATAATCAAGATTGATGTCATTCACTGAACTCTTACGACTAGGACCTTGACTAGTTCTTGCATTCTTGAATGCCGATAGTTGAATACTACTGTTTGGCAACCCAAATTTCATCCCATAACTACCAAGTCTATAATTTGCCCCTGCATCTGTTTGTGTTGACGATTCTATCAGGCGAGAAGGCGCACAAGAATCCTTTCGTTCACTCTTCCTCCGAAGCTGTCCTCTATTTGCTTTTCTTGTATTTGAGAAATTCTTCATAGAAGAGGGCATCAGATAATAGGCATTGTGATCTCTCCAATTAGGCCCTGAGGAATTAGATGGAGAAGGAAACCGGAAGGGAAGAAAAACATCAGCATTGCTAGGAATTTCTGGGTCCTCGGTGTTCAATGTGCAGCATATGACTCCATTATGGTATTCAGTACCAACAGCTTTCACAGTTTGCACGGGTGGTATTTGTGTGTATAGAATAGAACTCTGATACAGCTCCTTCTTCCCTGACTCTTCACTATGTGCACCACTAGTAAAAGTAAAATGTGCATCGGGAGTCTCATGGACAACGTTGGGCAAATCACTATTATTAGGAGAATCCAATAGAAGTGAACTGAAACTATGAATATAAGACTTTTCTATCAGGTCATTTCCATCAGCATCCATGAAAAGCTGTTCTTCCTCATTTGAAAAGTCAAACAAAGTGCTTGTCAATTCTGCGAAGTAGTCCTCCGAGCTAGGAGTTAAATTTGTCATGTTAGGCACTGAATTATTTGACTTGGATGCATCTGTATTATTCTCACCATTGGCCTTGGTACACACAAATAATTTTCCTGTCTGCTGGTCTCTCTCTCCAAGCTGAACTGGCAGAGAAGAGGCAGAAATGTCGTGCATCGTACTCCAAGTTGGCATTTGAGGCAGCGGTGATGAATAGCCTAAACTGTGAAATGATGTGCCTCCAAATTCAGAAAGCTCATTTCCTCCATTCTGATTAGTTTGACCAAATACATCAGGGTTTTTTATCTCTAAACCGTCAGTTATGAAGAAGTCACAAACGGGTGATTCTTTAGATTGTCCAAATCCCCCAGGCATAGATGTATTCTCTTTATTAGTATGACAAAAGCCCTGAGACACGTTATTCCCCGAAAAAGGAAGATCTTCAATGCGATTTTGAATTCCCACACCTCCATTAACTCCAAAATGATATGAAACGGAATTTCCAATCAAGCAATCTGCAGATGGATGTTCATTCCCATCCCCAATATTAGAATTCTCAGGTTCAGCAAGAGGAAAAATATCCATTGCTTGTAATTGTTCATCCAAAATTCTTCTACGCATAGAATAGTAAAGTTTACGAATACTTTCAGATTTTCGCTTCCCTGAACTGCACTTCGTCTCTTTTGTACTGTTTGGCCTATTAGATCCTGATTGTAGAGTTGAAGCAGAACGCTCAAGCTCAAGCATGCGAGATGTTGCCTCTGCAGAAACAAATGGATCATAGAGGAGAGAATACCAACGATCGTGCAGTTCCTGAAGAGTAAATTGTCTAGAAAATTGCACCGCGCCTTTTGCAAGAGATTCCAAAGAAGCGCCGGCCTAAGGCAGAAGAAGAAAATGATGAGATGATGAAATCATAATGGCATTACTAGGAATTATCATTACATAAATTTTCAGTACTCATTGACAGAGTTTAAGGCATCATTTAAACAATTTCTTCAAGCATTTTTCTATAGGGATTTCATGCATAGGCTGCTGCTTCGCTAAACAAAATAAGATTGATTGCCATGTGGTCCAGCATTAAAATGACGTACAACATTCCAAAACAAAATGTGTCGTTGACAAACAAAGAGACTACAAAGTTACCAGTTGAGGAGATAGGGGCAGCTGCTTTGCTAGTTTATATGAATTCTTACTTATTATTTAGTGATAACAATCAAATTAATTATGGATGCGACCCTCCTGATGTTTTCTAAATCGCCCCAAGCACATCTATGTATGTGGACCCCAAGGTACAACTCTGGGATCTGAAACTAAATATAAGCCCTAACGACATTCCAAACATGACAGATCGCACAAAACAGATTACAACGACCACATAATAGCATGTTAAAAATTCCCGCAACTCCATAAAATTGGCCTTTTTTAAATTTATATGCGCCTGCCACGTGGCCTTGATAAACCGAATATAACCATAAATGGAATGACAATCTTGGAATGTCCTGTTTCTTTTCACCATGTTAGGTTTCTGGACTTTGTGTGTTTTTACAGGTTAAACTGAATCTACTGATCATTCTTCATACTCATGCCAATTCCAATTGCACTCGACCATCAATTACAATTATTTACACATGAATTTTTATCTCCATACATAAAATTTTCCTCATATCTCCCAAAAATCAATTAACAAAATAAAATCAATAATGAAACACTTCAAGCTTTCAATTCTAACATTTCATGCAACAAAAGAAAGCCACTGTCTTTCGTCCCAAAACCACATATAAACTAGAGATATTAAATTAATTGAATCACGAGATTCAAAGAAAAATAGAATTCAATTGAACAGCAAAAACATTAAGTGAGAACTGGGGGAAAAACAGAACACCACAAATACACACACATACACAAAAAAAAAAAAAGGAGAAAAAAAAAAAAAGAAGCCAAAATCAACACAGTTACACAAACAAACCCAATTCCATTTTAAAACAAGCCATCATTTTTCAACTTTAAACTCAAAATCAACACAAAACCCAGACCCAGAACCATTTTCCAAGAAATGAACCCACAAACAAAACCAACAGCACAAAGAAAAAGAAAACAAAACCAAGAAAAAGAAAAAAAAAAACTTGAACAAAATCAAATGGTGCTTGAAATGGTTGTACCTCAACGGCGTTTTTAAGCACAAGATCATCTTCTGGAATCCAATTCTTAATAGGTGCCACTGCTCCCATTTCGTCCGCCAGGCCACCACAACTCTCTCACTCAGCGCCGCTTTCTCTCTCTCTCTCTCTATCTGCAGTCTTTTCTTTTCTTTATATAATTTCTCTCTCTAAGATGTGTAGGATTGAGACATGGGGGGCCAAAAAAAACCTTAACAAGTATTTAAATTTGGAAAAAGACTGGAGGGTGGGGGCGACAGAGAGAAACCTATGATTTTTTTCTACTATTTTCAAGAATTAAAAAAATGAAGAATATAGTGTACTTATTATGTGGCAGAATATCAGAAAGTTTTGCAGCAACGTGGACGAAACGGTGTTCCCCATTCGGTGGCTGACGATACTCGGGATTTGACTGAAAGAGAGGGAAATGAAGAAGATTTTGTTAAATTTTGAAAATTTTAGGCTGAATTTTTTTTCATAACAGAAGTCTTTTTTCAGGAGACCGCACAAGTTCTGTTAAAATCGACTAGACTTTGAGTCGGTGAGTTATTAAAATTTTATTATTGTAAGTTTTATTATTTTGTTAGTATAATTTTAGTTGTATTGAATTTAAAGATAAGTTGTTAATGTTTTATTAGAATATTGGTTTCTCGATATTTCTGAGATAAATTTTTCATTTGAGCAAGTATGTTTTATAATGATAGAAAATTAGGTTAATATTGTTGGATTTCTCTTGTTCTTTTAGGATTCAAATTTCGATGTTGCACTGAAATGATATCCAAGCAAGAATCTCACTGGAAAAGCATCCGAACGACAGCAACCTAAGATCGAAGAATGTAAATCTCATTCTAGGATTTGGAACTTTGGATGTTTATGATTTAAATACATGATCAACACGATTAACACATTCCAATCATGATAAATGTTGATAGAGCTTAAATTACAGCAAGAAACACCCATACAAGGTTAAGTTGCTTTTCTCTCAATCTAGTGAGGTTTGCTTTCTAGGTGTTTGCGATCAGCTTGGTTGTTTCTCGGTTCACGTTCTAGGTTTCATATTAGTAAACTAGTGTCATTCAATCACTCGGGCAACAACTTTCACTTCCTAAATAAAAAGGAATGAGAGGAAGATGTGACTTACTAACAGGATGAAGAACAATGAATTTCGAGATGATATTTGTTTTTCAGTTATTCACCTTATAAACTTAATACAATTCCTATATTTCACTATGTATTATAACCTTTATACGTTCTTATCTTCCTCTATTTTTCCTTTCTCGCATCTCTTGCTTCTTCTTTTTTTTTTTTTTAAGTTGAGGGATGAAATATTAGATTCAAAATCGAATATGACGAAATAGGCTCTTTCTTTTTTTTTTAATCACGTGCAATAAAATAACACAACAATGCAAATCCAATTTAATGTGACAACATCCTTTTCTTAGATTGTTTTACGAAGGAATCACGATAATATAACAAGTAGTCTCACTTAGAAAAAGAAACAAGTTTTATCATTAACTTTGCAAAGATCAATGAGGAATATGGTGGAATTGGCTTATTGGCAATAACCATTAATGCCATTAGCTCCAATATGTCTCTGCCAATTTAGATTTGTTTGCAAAAACTTTTGATGAAAGAGATTTAATATTAAATTTGACTTTTTAGAGTTGCCGCTCTTCACTTATACTCAGATAGACAACTCGTATAAATGAGACGTTCTACAATTCAGGATATATAAGTTCGTATTACGAATTTAACGATATTGAGATATTATGTGTCTAAAGCTATGTTTCAACTAATCCAAAAATTGCAGCTTAAAAACAACTTTTTGCTGTAAGAAAATCTCGTGGCTAAGACTTTTGACTTTTGAGTATGTAACTCAAAATGAGAAGATGGGTGATCAAAGTCACTGACTTTATGAAATGGGAGAATTTTTAAAAGACAACTTTAACAAATGCGCGATCTAGTGGAGCAAAGAATATATTCATTTGTTCAAATTTTGTCCTTCGCAAGAAATCTTTTTGACATTGAAAACCACGACTCAAGAATTAAGAAAATGAAGAACATTCTGTTAAATTTTGGGCTGATTTTACATCTGATATTCTCTATAACAATAAAAAAATGTTTTTTTTTTTGGTGACAGAAAGAAGTCTTTTTTCAAGAGACCGCACAAGTACTGTTAAAATCAACTAGACTTTGAGTCAGTGAGTTATTAAAATTTTATTATTGTAAGTTTTATTATTTTGTGAGTATAATTTTAGTTGTATTGAATTCAAAGAAAAGTTATTCATGTTTTATTAAAATATTGGTTTCTCGATATTCAGGAGATAGATTCCTCTTTAGTATGTTTTGTAATGATAGAAAACTATGTTAATATTGTTGGATTTCTCCTTTTTTTAGAATTCAAATTTCGATGTTGCACTGAAATGATATCCGAGCAAGAATCTCACCGGAAAAGCATCCGAACCATAGCAACCTAAGATCAAAGAATACAAATCTCATTATAGAATTTGGAACTTTGGATGTTTATGATTTAAATACATGATCAACACGATTAACAGACTCCAATCATGATAAATGTTGGTAGAGCTTAAATTACAGCAAGAAACACCCATCCTCAAGGTTCAACTATGCTCGTGTGGGGATTCAGAAAACTCATAATCGAACACATATAACTTGTCTTACTTTAATTGAGGAATCGATCTCGGATTCAATGCTTCTGCTCAATGGCAATTAAGTAATTCAAAAAACTTTGACCGTCTTAGAAATCGAAATCAGCAGAAAAAGATGAGACCAGTAGCAGCTCAGCGAGAAGAATAAACCAAATCATGAACCAGAAAGAGCACATCATCATAAACGAATTTAACCAGCAAGCAATCAGCAGTAGAAACTAAAACATAGATGCAGAGAAAATGAAAGATAGAATTCAATATGAAATTCACATTGAAGGAACTTGATGATAGAACCATATGATGGATATTTATTAATCATCAAAGCTCAATTGATAATGGAATTACATTGCCCTATTTATATACTAAATTCCTAACTACATAACAAACTAAAGACGGATCTAGATGAATCAGCATGTGCAGGCCGTGTGAACTCATGTGCTGGACGTAAGCTGGAGAATAGAAGGATCTGGAAGGATGTTCATTTTAGGCTGATGCTCGTGTGATCTGTTTTGCTGAACTGATTAGTGCTGGTCTGATTTATTGAGAGGAATATTTCAACATACCAGGAGCAAAAAAGGAAGTTGGTTGACTTTCCTTCCTTTACGAATCCACATTAGCAAATACCATCTTTTTGGGCGAAAAATTGTGTATCTTAAGTACCAGACCTATCTTCTGTTACAAGGTTAAGTTGCTTTTCTCTCAATCTAGTGAGGGTTTGCTTTCCAAGTGTTTGCAATCGGCTTGGTTGCTTCTCGATTCAAGTTCGAAGTTTCGTCTTAGTAAACCAGTCTCATACTCTCATTCAGTGAATTTCGAGATAGTTTGTTTTTCGGTTATTCACCTAATAAACTTATGTACATTCCTATATTTCACTATTTATTATAACTTGTATACATTCTTATTTTCCTCTATTTTTCCTTTCTCGCGTCTCTTTCTTTTCTTTTAAGTTGAGGGATGAAATATTAGATTTAAAATCGAATATGAAGAAAGAGGCTCTTTCTTCTCTTTTAATCACGTGCAATGAAATAACACAACAATCCAAATCCAATTTAATGTGACAACATCCTTTTCTTAGATTGTTTTACGAAGGAATCACGATAATATAACAAGTAGTCTCACTTAGAAAAAGAAACAAGTTTTATCAATAACTCTGCAAAGATCAATGAGGAATATGGTGGAATTGGCTTATTGGCAATAACCATTAATGCCGCTAGCTCCAATATGTCTGTGCCAATGTAGATTTGTTTGCAAAAACGTTTGATGAATGTGATTTAAAATAAGGTCGACTTGCAATCTTGCATGTGTAATATTAAATTTGACTTTTTAGAATTGTTGCTCTTCACTTATACTCAGATGGGCAACTCATATAAATGAGACGTTCTAAAATTCAGGATATATAAGTTCGTATTACGAATTTAACGATATTGAGTGTGTCTAAACCTATGTTTCAACTAGGCCAAAAATTGCAACTTAAAAGCAACTTTTTGCTGAAAGAAAATCTCGTGGCTAAGACTTTATGCAACTCAAAGTGAGAAGATGGGTGATCAAAGTCACGACTTTATATCATGTGAAATGGGAGAATTTTTACAAGACAACTTTTACAAATGCACGATCTAGTGGAGCAAAGAATAGATTCATTTGTTCAAATTTTGTCCTCCGCAAGAAGATGGGTGCTCTCACTTAATTTTATTTTAGTTTTTCTTGATCACTGATAGATCATCCAGGGTCAAGTCTATAAACAATGAAATTGCCTATAAAGACAATCAAGAACAATATAATAGCGATTGAAGTGAACCGAAGATGGGAAAACATAATGGAAAAATTAGTTAAAGCAAGCGAGATTTCGTTGTCATCACTAGTAAGTGGTTGTTTGGTGGAGATTAAAATTAGATTTTTAGTAGATCGTGATAGAAATTTTTGAAATGTGTGATTAAAAAGTTGTGGGACCCATAAAAGATGTGGTTAATATAAATTGTTTGATTTTGATTTAAATTAAAATCTGATTTTAATCATAAACAAACTGGGCCTAAGTATAGAAGAATCTAGGAGCTAGAGAGATGAATGAAATTGAAAATGGAGCCTATATCATACCTCTACCATTTTAGGCATCTTTACTAAAAAGGGTAGCAGGCATTTCGAATTAATTTCCCCTTGGTTGTTTTATTTAACCCTTCTCAAGTCAATTTATAAGAGGGGGAGTCTTTCTATCTGGCAAATTGGGTGTTGGAATAGCGTATAGAGGAATTAGGATGTTAGCCCCCGCACATGATCCATACCAATCCTTTCTACTATTGTTTCTTTGTCACTTCTTGGAAATTATAAAGAGGATTTTTGGACTTGACTGAGTGAGAGGGGAGCTACTGTCGGTATTGAAAACGTCCTTAATTCCTCGATTCATTCGGT